TGATTCTATGATTCTATGATTCTTCACCATTTTCCGTATCTTGTGTTGCCATGTAGGTAGAAACACAACTCATGGAAAGTCAAAAAGAAAATGTGCTTATTAATGACCTTGAACTAGAGCAAGTTGAAGAAGCAGCTGCTGCTAAGGAAGAACTGAGCAGTTACAGAGAAAAAGCAGAAAAACTTCAGCAAGAACTAGCAGTAAGAACCAGATTGTTCCATATTGTATTTAAAGCAAATGATTATACAGGACTTACTGTGCAAATATGCATGCTATAGTTTTTTTAATCTTGTACTGAGAATGCCACTAAGAAAAACGGTCACTCAGTACCTACTGTCAGTGGAATAGAGCTGATGCTGTAGACCAAATCGTAACTTATTGCCAGAATACATAGTTTTACAGTCCACGATAGCACAACAGTGGATCTAGAGCTGTATTTCTTAGAAGGTAATATTTGTTACCATGTGTCATAACTGCTTTAAAATAGGACTAAACTGAGCTCTAATGGTATAGAGGATTGTCTGGGTTTTAGATTTCTTTTTTTTAAGTATTTGGAAGGACTGCAATTCAGGTTCTCCATATTTACAGATAAAAGAAGCAAGTCTGACACATCTTGAGGAAGACCTGTGCAAAGTCAAAGAGAATCTAGTTCAAGCAGAAGAGAGGCTTGCAAGTTACATGAGAAAGGACAAGGAAATGGCAAAAACTGAGAGCAAAAAGGATGCAGAAATATTGTGTGATTTGTCAACCAGTGAGTCTACTCTAATTAGAAAAAGCTCATCATCGCAAACAGACAAGACTGTGGAAATCAACAGCTGTATCCAGACTTCACCAGTCCTTGTTAAAAATGCAGAAGTCCAAATTGATTTGCAAAATGGATGTTCTTCAGAAGAGATTGCAGAGATCATAAGAGAATTTACTGAAAAAATCGACCAAATGCAAGAACTCCACGCTGCTGAAATCATGGACATGGAGACAAGGCATATCTCTGAATCTGAAGCATTAAAGAGAGAGAAATTTGTTGCAGTTCAGGTATTGACAGAAGAATGTAATACTTTAAAGGAAGTCATAGAAACTCTACGAGCTAAAGAGGCATGTATCCTATTTTATATTCATTGAACTACTGCAGTTCATGCTTTCGCTCCTGCTACAGAAATTCCCATTTAAAGTCTGTTAAGTGTGAACCACCACATGTTCACTATAAAGCTTTTATGTGTTCTAATGTTTCCATGGCCTAGGGAGAGATTGTGAACCCCTTCCTCAGCAATTTAAGTTTGGGAGCGTGTTTGACTATCAGATGCTTTCTTGTGCTACTGCCTTGGACCTGTCCTGCTCTGTGAAGTGGGGACAAGTGTAGGTCACCCTATTGAATGCCATCTTTCTCATCTCCATTTTCATTACTTTGATTGCAGGGGAAACTGGACAAAGAGGCTCATCTCATTTCCTGCTCCTTAGAATTAACTCCCTTACTGTGAGTGGGTGTGGGGTGATTAAAGATTTGATTGTTCTCTTTTCTAAATCTAGGGAATCCCAGTTTCTGGATTAGCACATTCTCCACCGTATCAAGCTAGAGATGGAGGTTCTAGTGGTAAGAAACTTGTTTTTATAAATTTCAAACAGCATTATAAATTAAATCTGCTTTTTTAATATTAAGTTTACCGTTAAAGAGTTTGCGTTCTAAGAAATAAGAACAGCTACTCCCCAGATCGAAGCAGAAGCCTGTCGCACTAAGAAAAGGTGCTGAGCATGCCATGTCTATTAATTTGCTACGGAAGGAAAATGACTAGAGTGGAGATGGGTTGAGTCGAGGCATCAGATGCTAATTTTTTTCTTCCCACTGGAGTTCCTATATTCTTATATATTACGTTATCCCTTCAGCATAGCTTCATCACCTCTGGAAAGAATGTAAAGCTACAGCTCCCTAGCAGTGGGAGGTGATGACAGGTACTGACTTCTCCAAGACCAATAAAAATTATTAATATGATTCTTTTCATAGGCAAAGGCTAAGCATATTAAGGGGGGGTCATTTGGCAGAAGTGTTTGTGCAAGTAGTTGTTTCTCTTTTAGAACTAAACTAGGATTTTTAAGTTTTGGTTTTTTAGCTTTGCTTTGCTGTTACTGCTTTGAAACTGAAAAAGAAAAACTATAAACAGGTAGTCTCCAGGCATAGAATCAACTCTGGTGACATGCAACCACTTGTTACAACAACAGACAAAAAAACTTTTTTGATGCCTGTTCTTCAAAGTTTCACAGTAATACGGCTTTCATGTTTTTCTCTCCTTTTATTTTAGACTCCAGTTCAGACTGGAGTCAAGGAATGTGTCTTGCTCAGACCCAGGGATCTGACGTGATATCTGAAGGAGTAGATGAAGGTGAAACTTCAACAGATGTACTTCCAAAAAAAATTAAGGTAAAATAGAACTGTGTGTTTTTACTATGGAACAAGAGTGATACTACCAAAAGCTTAGATTAGCTGCTGCTTGATTAGTGAAAAGAGAGCCATTTAGATAAGTTTTAAAGTGTTGGCTATTTTAATATATTTTAAAATACTTCTGATAAATGATGTGCATTTTTGCATGTTAAATTAGATTAAATATGAGTTTTCTAACTGTAGGCTTGTTCTCAGTTATGATTATGAGAAATGTAACTACTGTTAATTATAGTTTATTGTAGTTATTGTTATTAATGATAATTTCATGATCATATATTACACAATTTTGCAGATTTTGTTATTACAGGTGTAGAATAATATCTATATTATGAAAGTAAACAAATGTGTTTGTTATAAACAGTAAGGGTATCATGCTTTTAATTACATTAAAAAAAAAAAAACAAACCAAGTCTTTTGCAACAAAGCCCTAGCTTAATAGTTATTTCAAAAAGTGAATTGCAAAGCTCACTTGGAAGCTTCCCAGGACTTTGTTTTTAAAATGTCAGTTTCCATCAGCAGCGATTTTAAAATTTGAGTATTGTTTTGATAGATGAACTTTGGGAATTTTCATTTGAAACTGAGGAAAAATACACCTATTAAATAAGTTCTATTATTTGGCAGATATAAAGGGTGATACTTCTGTCTTTGATATGAGGAAGCTTTGATATAAGGAAACTATAAATAGTTTCCTTATGCTGATCAATTTAGAAGTACCAGTATTCCAATATGTATGAAATAAGATGATTATTATTGTTGTTGTTGTTGTTATCATTAGGACTGGCATTACTGATTTCTTTTTGTATTTATTGTAGGGTTTGCTGAGAGCAGTCCATCATGAAGGCATACAGGTGCTCTCTCTCACTGAATTTCCATATGGTGAAAGAGAGATGCCACCTCTTAAGCAAGAGCCAGAATCTTGGCTTGAGGAAAGGAAAGCTTTTCTGAGCACCATTTCATCTTTGAAAGACCTAATTGCAAAAATGCAACTTCATAGAGAAGCTGAGGTATAAATAATACCATAAGATTCTATCTAAATAAAAAATTATTTATGATAACCTTATAAGGCACATTCACAATTCAGGTTTAAATGCTCTAAATATACTTCTACAAGGCAAAAGGTTTCAAAAATATGCAGTAAAACTGCATGTCGCGCTTTTTGGTAGTAAAATATATCTTAAATTACAGCCTGCATTTGTTCTTCTGTGCATTGATAGCTTTTGACTGTATAGATCCACCTTTTAAAAATAATTCTATTTTGAAAACATGTTTCCAGTAGCAGTTAAAGTATATTTTCTAATGTTGTTATTTATTGGTGTAGTAGAATTTGGATGCTATTAAAAAGATACTGTACTGAGAGAAAAGAGGGGAAAAATTGTTTAAAATGTAACACAATATTAATCAGTAATCTGTTAAAACTTATTAAGACTTGCCTGTCGAGTTACCCCATTAGACTTTTAGATATATGTAGGTAGTTTCTATTACTTCTGCATTTCCTTCAGCATGCGAAGTGGGGGGGATTAACTTTATATCATTATAAAATTAAATCTTCTTCATACATAATATCTGCACACTACCACATAGCTCTGTGAGAGGAACATACATGTAATATCATAAAAATTAAAAGGATAGTGTGATACAGTAACATAAATACATGGGGCTAAGTTTTCAGTTATAAAAAGCTGAATTGCTTCCATCTAAAACACAGATAAAATTTTAGCATTTGTGCACACAGAAGAAATCATAACGTGTACAATAAATACATCCATTTGTATGAATGAATATTACGTAGCCGTTGAGTAAGAAAAGCTCAATATTCCACTGAAAACACACGCTTTACAGAAAATGATAATGACCATTCTTGATGTAATCTTTGGATTCTGCTGTTTAAATTGTTTTTATACCACTGTAGATTTATGCAAGTAGTGAATCTCCTGAAGGTGTCTCAGACTGGCGAGGAGAACTTCTGCGTGCTATTCAACAGCTTTTTGTGGGAGAACAAAACGTGCTTCTTGCTGCGTTTCAAACTGAACTTGCAGAACTGGGCACAAGAGATGCAGTGATATTGATGAATCAGTTAGAGCACAGGCTACAAGAGCAGGTAATATAAAACATACTTTAGTCAAAGTGTGTTTGTCTAAAACATTAGATTTTAATTTTGAATGTATAAATCCATTTAAAAATATATATGTATTAATAGTAGTTTTGACAGTCTAAGGGTGAAAACAAAGTAAGACTTCTAGGAAGAAGAGGTGCCTTCAGAAAGAAAATGTGGTGCAGGAAAGAGATTTCTGTGTGCACAAGCTATAGAAAAAATACAGCCTTCAGAGATCAATTTGAATTAAACACAGTTGACCTGAGCTTGATTTCATTAAGTTAATTAGAATTATGTTACACAGTCTAACAGAAAAAGGTAGCTTGTATATACGAAGCAAGTTGTAAGAAAAGGAAGTGATAAGGCTGCTATGGGACAGAGAGGGGTCAGTTATCTCCTCTGGAACATGGAAGGATTAGTGAGGAAAATTACAATTTGCTGTAAAAATGATAGCTCTTTTGATTCTATAATTCTGATGCCCAGTAGAGAAATAAAAATATAACAAGCAGTTCTTCCCAATATTATAATATTGCCTTAATTATGAATTAATTGAAAATGTTTTGAATATATATGCGCTATGAATATGTAAGTAAGTGTAATATCCACACCACAGATAATTCTAATAAAATCTGGAATTTTGTTTTTAAATGTTTCTAATGCTAATAGGCTACTAACCAGAGAGCAGCAATGGACTGTCTTCAGAATGCAGACAGAAGAAGTTTGCTGATGGAGATTCAAGTATTACATGCTCAGATGAACAGTAAGAAAAATAATCCAAAGAGAGAACAAGAGATTGATTCAAAAAGCCAAGGTGACTTCTGTGGTAATATTTGTCTATTTCTAAATGCTTTCATGGCTGTGCTCCTAATGTTGTAGGTGAAAAAATACTGACTTTCTTTGCTCTCTGATTTTGATACTCTTATTCTGAGCATGCATACTTTTCATCTTTTTCAATCTTATTGGACTAATTTTGCAAAAATTAAGATATGGTCTGTGTTCTTACGACTTGTATCAAATTGAAAGTGATACAAAGTTCTTTCAATTGCTATAAAAACTGGGCTTGTATTTTAAGGTTATTTTCCATGTACGCGCTTCAGTGTTCAGGTTCAACAGCTTTGAAATTATCTAAGTTGGTTAGTCAGTCATGGTGAGTAAACTAAGAAGCAATTAGAATGAACAACAAAAAGTTCAGAGAACAGGTATACTTTTAAATTAAGTAAATGCTCACTGTCAGTGTTCTGTCACAAAAATTTGGTCACAAGTATACATACATACCTAACTTCAGTCATGTTAGTCATAATCCAAATGATACATATTGATATGGTTGTGCACTTAGAAGTTTAAGAGTTGCAGTGATTCTTGGAAAGTATGAAAGATACTCCAGTATAAAAGGCATGGTTTTGCTTTCACTCCACTATTGAAAGAATATATTATTTTAAGATAGCACTCTTGATAGCTTTGTGGTCATTCTTTGTGCTAGGGGAAACTTTACCCAAATAGACAAGTGTTGTTTGTTTACTAAGTAATTTCCATATTAATGGTACTCTCCTTAGAAATGCTGGAGTACAATGTGCAGCAGAAGCAGTCACAGATATTGGAGATGCAAGTGGAGCTCCGGAGTATGAAGGACAGAGCAGCTGAGCTTCAGGAACAGCTGAATTCGGAGAGAATGATGGGTGCTGAGCTGAAGAATGAACTTGCACAAGCCAAACTAGAGCTTGAAACAACCCTAAAAGCACAGCACAAGCACTTCAAGGACCTAGAAACCATCAGGTGTGGCTTTCAGTGCCAAACTTTGCGTTGACAGTGAAGATGATCTTTTCTATGTTGTCTCAAATTATAATACTGATTTTATTAAGGAAGTTGATCTCATGTAGTGTAAATGCTTCTCAGTTTTTCTGTAAAACATATCTGACAAAAATAGACTTCTGTTCCATTTGACAAAAAATTTAATTCTATAGTTTAAGAAGATCTGATTCATAGTTAAATTTAATGATTTAGTAATATCAAGTTTCTTTTTAAATTTTGACACATTAGACTACTGTATACAAGCTAATAAGTATACCATATTTATTAAAGCTTTTTTTGCTTCTAAAACTAAACATGGGGAAAAAAATTACAGAGTTAGAATGACTTTGCAAGTACTTCCATATGAAATTCTGTAACTTTGAAGTGTTGCTTTGGCATGGTCAACAGCAGGAGTAACAGGCCAAATATTTGGCACTCAAGAAAGCCATTGTTATTTATGCCTGTACCAGATGGATGTCCCCATGTACGGAATCTTAAGATTCAGCTCAGAGATAACAAATTAAGACAGAGTTTAAATTGGTATTACTGTATAGATACCTTACAGCCTTTACAGACCATCAGGAGCAAGATTCTTTTGCAAATTGATGCAAAATTGATTTGCAAAAAAATGAAAATTCAGGGCATAGATTTTTTTTTTTTCCCCCAAGACAGATTTTTTTCCTTTGAGACACGTGTCAGCAAGATTCATTTCCCCTGCATTCTTTCAGGTTTTGGCCAGTGATTGGATTAAGTTGAACACTAGCTGCCTCTGTGCATTTTAATAAAAAATGGCAGCTACAAAGTTAGCACTTTCTGTCATTTTTGAGCTATGCAACTCTTTTTTTGAGTTAGGCTTGTTTTTCTGAATTGGCTTTTCACTGTTACTCTACTACACGACCAGTGTTTTCAGTGCACAAGATGGAATAAACATCAAGTAACTGATGTTACCATGATAGGATTAGAGCCATTGTCTAATCTAAAGGTTGCCCATTTCTCTTTTAGGACCGAAGTTAAAGAAAAAGCAGCTGAGCTAGATATTCTTAAGGATACAATGGCCAGTGAACAGAAAAAATCAAGAGAGCTACAGTGGGCTTTGGAAAAGGAAAAAGCTAAAATGAAACGCAGTGAGGAAAGAGGAAGAGAAGAGCTTGAGGTATTCCATAATCCCAAATGGCCTAGAACATCAAGGAGCACGCAAATATTCTTTTGGTTAACATTTTGTCTCAGCTTACATTTCTGTCCAATGTGTGCTCCATGTTGTGTCTTCAACAGCAGTATTATATCATCTAGAGCTGAAGAAAGATGTATAGAAGCTGTGTGGCAAAGAAAGAAAAAGGCCTGATGCAAATTCCATTTAAATCAATAGGAATTTTACAATTGCACTTTTCAGGGCCAAGATGAAAAAATTCTACTTTTTATAATAGCCCTCAGATATTCAAAGGGACAGGACACTGCTAACATGGCTACACCTAGCCCCCACTACAACCTAACTCATAAAAGACAGTATTTAAGAATATTATTTAAGGAGATGTATTCTTTGTCTCCATTTTAAAAGTCAGCAGTTTCACCTCATGAAAAACAAACTAGGGAGTTTACTTTAGGAGAAAATGTGTTAGTAGCTTCCTTGGTACCTCTGCAGTGTCTGATATGGTGAGGGAGAGAGCAGGTATCGTAGTACAATATTAAGACAAAAAAGCGATCACTTTAACAGCATAGATTTATTTGCAACTTGAAATCTTAACTTGCAAAATCACTTTTACAGTTTTAGAAAGTAAAAGCAGCTAGTTAACTTCAGAACTGCGGCCGTTTGTATCTCATTAAAAAGTATATGTTACAAATACTCTTTTATGAGATTATCTGATTTTACAGTAAAGACACCTGTAATATATTTTAATATCAGATGTAACTGCAGCATTCAGAGTATTGTCACATTAATTGTGAATAGCAAAACTTACTAAAAGCAACATGTGTAGAGGTAGCATATTTGCAATTTGCAGAAGGTAATGGAAAGTATACACAAATGGCTTTAATCAATTATTTTCTTCTGTTTTCTTATGGAAGGATTTAAAATTTTCACTTGAAGATCAAAACCAAAAGAACTTGCAGTTAACTAAACTTTTGGAGCAAGAGAAACAGCTGTCAACTGATCTGCAACAGAAAATTGAATCCCAAGAAGCACTCAGTGCTGCCCAGCTGTCACGTGAACGAGGCCGTAATTCTGAGTTGCAGGTGCTTCTTGAATCAGAGAAGGTTCGAGCTCTCGAAATAAGCAGTGCCCTAGAAAGGGAAAAAGAGCTATGTGCTCAGCTTCAAAGTGCTGAAGATAAGGGGCAAGCTGGAACACCTAATCCATCTGAGGAATTACTTAAAGAGCTACAGAAACAAATGGATGAAAAGCATGACCGTATAGTGGAGTTAGTAAGTGAGATGGAGAAGTATAAACTGGAATCTGTGCAAGTGAGACAGCAAATGGAAAAAGAAAGGCAGATCCAGAGGAAAGCATTACAAGCAGAACAAGATGCTAACATAACAGCACAGAAGAAACTCCATGAACTGGAGTCCAAAGTAGAAGACCTTCAGTGGCAACTTGGAGAAAAGAAGCAAGAAGTTCATAAATTAGGGAATGAAATAAAGAAGTTGCAGGAAATAATCCAAGAAGTACAGAAAAAAGAGCAGGAGAATGAAGGAAGAAAAGAAGCCGAAAGGACACCAAGCCACAATCCAAATGAGGTACAGTAGGACTGAGAGCAATGTGTAATACTGAACTGTGCAATTTAGCTTTTAATTCTTTTGTTCAATTAGCATTGTGTGTCACTGTGCCTTTACTCAATCTATAAAATAGCCTGCAGATTCAAAAATATGGGCACCAGGGAAAGGGAAAGCATTCCAGTTTTGCTACCTAAAATTATTCACACACATCCTCCGAGAATGAAGCTGTAGAGGTGTGTAAGGAGGAGCGTGAGCAGGAGAAATGCATCTGAATGTATACACACACTTTGTGTCTCAGTATAGGAAAAGAATATTCCCTGCACCCAGTCACAGGAATGAGCTATTCCTACTCAGGAATGCTCCAGGTCAGTGCTCTTAATCTTTAGTTCAAAAACCACAAGTGGTCTTTGAAACATATAAAAGCGATGTCCCAAGAACTTCAATAATTAAATGAGTAAGTAATCAAATAAGCATATGCATGAATATGTATAGAGGTAAAAAATTAATTTAAGAATTTAGCCTAGTTTTTAGATGAATGAAAGTTGGAACCACTGTTGCCTGTAAATTTTTCTCTCTCATAAAAGGTTTGGAAAGTTTTAAACTTATTTTTAAATTACTTTTAAAACTCTTTAGAAACTTCCCTGTAAGAGGTAACTTACCTGTAAGAGGGATGAGTGATTTGTGGATAGACCCAGAGAGGGTTGGCAGGAGACTTGCCTCTTTGCTGACCATGTTTTTGCCCATCCTGCCGTCATTCCATGCTTTTTGGCATCTGTCTGTCTGTGGAGCCAGGAAGGAAATGTTTCTCTTCATCTAATTTGGCTACTGGTTTTAATCTTCTGAAGCATTGGAAACTACCCACAGCTAGAGGCAGGATGTTGAGTGTATTGATAACTGTGATAGCATTAGTCTTCCTGCCATGCTCAGTTTGTGCACCTTGCTCTTCTGCTCAGAGGTAACTGCCAGCACTGCGGTCAACGAAGAGTCTTCCCTTGGATCGGGTTGGCAATGGCTGTTGGGGCTTTTTCCCCTCCTCGGCAGCAGACAGTATGATCTGCTTTCCAGGATCTGCCTGGAGTTTCAAATAATGAATCTCCTGCTGCTTCCTATGACATTTGCAACACCCTGCTTTTTTTCAATGGTACCACACCATGGTCAAATATCCAAAGGCACAGCCATAGACTCAGGTTTCCTTTTGAGGGCTAGCAGTTCTTCCATGGCCAGTGTCGGGGAGGGTGTTGGTGAGGGTGAGGAGCATATGTTCAGTGCATTGCTTCTCTTGTGGCAGCATCAGTGGTATGGTTGCCTGTGACTGTGGACTGAGCTCCATCACCATGGTGGGCTTTTCCAGTCCTGTTCCTCTGACTAAGGATTGGTCGCTGAAACACATGGGCACAGTTGCCCAAATTCCATGCACAACTGGTAAAGGAGCTGCTGGCGGAAGAAATAGAAGCTTGGTGGCTTCCTGCTGGCTGAGTTTGTGGAATGGATTCACACTGTAGCTGTATGATTGCTAGATCTTAGTCAAGAGAGGCATCACACTGTACCATTCACAAATAATAATTTAGTGGTACACTACAACAGCAGTGTAGTCACACTAAACTCCTCTCTGTGTCAGAATTGTTTGTTCTTCAATTTCTGGGTGTGTTTCAGAATCAAATCTGTCCATTTTAAAGCACTGGCCCACACGAATTCTATACATATGTGTATAAAAATACTTATTTATGTACAGACTACCTGGGATACACCCAATGACAGAACAAGAAATTGGGTTCTCCAGCAAAAAATGGAAGGAGCCGAGACAAATGAGTCAACCTACCCCACGCTGACGGGAGGAGGAGATCTCTCTGCTGCTACTGAAATTCTGGAAAATGTCAGACAAAAGCTGCAAAACGCATCTCCAAAGCTGAAGCAGTTGGCTCGGAAAGCCTCTAGCAGGTTAGACCAGTCTTCACCTACTTGGTTTTGTTAATAGCAACCAGCAAGCTAATATATTGGGTTTTAATCGTAATTCACAGACTGCAGGCCTAACTGATTTTGGAGTTGTTCTAGTTTTATAGTATATGCCATTACTTGAGATAGGCTGATGTAAGACAGGATCACAGAGTATCAAGTGCTGCTGTAAATCTTACATGTTTAATATGGTCCTTTATAAGTTACAGCAAAAATTTTTTTTTTTCCTCTGAAAAGTGATAAGGTTTATTTGGGTATGGTGTGGGTAGATAATTTTAAAACAATTTAGTAATGAAATAATTCACTGTGTAAAGGGACAAATATAGGGATTATTGGTATGGCTCATCCCCCTTGCTTCCCTCAGAAAAAATTAATATTTTATGGTCAAGTGAAACTGATCTTGATTCTTATTTTCTCAGTTACTATCTCCTTAAGAAAAAAAAAATAGCATGGTACCAGGTCCGTGGGAGTTTTGAATCTGTTTTTATTTTGCTGTGATGGTGATTTAATATTAAACATTCATTCTGAAACATTTGGGCAAAGCAAAATGCATTATTGAAATAATCTTGAAAATACCCTAAGATTTTGCTCACACAGATTCAACAAATTTCTGGGAAGCAGAACCACATTTTTAAATGTGCTTCATGTAGAACATCCTTTTCTCAAAATTATTGGAAACTGTTCTATGCAAATTCTTTATAAAATCGAGCCTGAATTTCATTTAGACTCTAATTTCATTTAGAGTCACTGAGCAGTCTTGAAAATGTTGCCATTCTCCAGTAACTATGCTGAAGTGACTTGCTAACGTCCCAGGGTGTGTGGATCAATGGAAAGTCCTGTCAGGCTGGCTCATGGTGTCAGACTATACCTGCTATTGAAACTGTCGCTTTTGTTTCAGATTACAGTTTGAAAAAGCAGATGATCAAGACTTCATTGCAATACAAAATGCTATTGAAGAAGTTATTTTAGAGCTGCAAAAACTGCCTGGATTGTCCTGTCTGGACGAGGTGAGAGTGCAATGTTGTAACTTTGGTGGGAGAGTTTGGATGATGAGCTGTGAGGGGGAAACCAGCTGTTTCACCAGCCAGGAGTTGTTAAGTCTGTACTTATCCAGGTCTGTACTTTATAGAGGAAAATCTGCTCCAGTGAGTCTTCTGATTTGGAGTTGGTGAAGTGTAAAAACCCCTTTCCTTTTATTTTTTCAATTGTAATTACCTTAATAGTGAATTTTAAAATTAAAACTTTTCCAGTTTAATTACAAATTTTTGGATCTCATGGTTTTTTCTTTAAGAAAAGATTTTCCTTTCAGCAGTATTTCTGTAACTGAGGAAACTTTTCTCAGTACTTCCCAATATTAAAATCAACATTTAGTATTTACTGTATTGTGTTGATACAACACATTTACTTAAACTGCCCTGTATTTACCAAAGGAAAGGCAGTCGAAGATTGAGTAGTGTGCACCTGTGTAAAAAATGAAATGAGGTAACCTGTTACAAAGACTTCAGCAATATTTGATTTTAACTGAGCTTGGCTAGGTCCTTACCTGCATTTTAAGCAAGTGTTTTCAATATGATTTGAAAAAAGCTTTGGAGGTTTTCTTTTCCTCTAAGTTAGATAAATCTAAACATAGTAGAAAAGCCTTGCAAATTGTTACAGCTGATACAATTGAGCTTGCCTGAAAATATTCCGCTGTGATATGCGGGATAAGCATAGAAGAGAAAGTCACATTAATCTATAGTTTACATGTACAATTATGTTTTCTTTATATAAGTTATTATGACGTTATTATCTATAAAAGTTTTTCACTGTAAGCCAGTTATTTTCAAGTTGGCAACTTGGATCTAATACAAGTTGTGTTTGGTTTTCTTTCTTCCTTCTAGCTGAAGCTCATGCTACCTCCGGGGACTCCATCTAGCTCATTGACTGAGAGGCTGCTGAGACAGAACGCTGAGCTGACAGGCTTTGTCAGCAGACTGAGTGAAGAAAAGAATAATTTGAGGAACGCTGTTATGAAACTGGAGGAAGAACTGAGAAGATACCAGCACAGACAACCTTCTGGAGACTACGTATGTCTTTAGTGGTGCTGATATAATGATGTATATATAGGCATAAAAGCATCGTTCTTTGTCCTAGTCACCTAAATGGGAGTGATCAAGCTGTCTGTGTTTCTTGGCTTCCCTCTGCAAAGTAAATAGGTGTGAGTTATTCTTGTCCTGTGGTCAATATATCTCGACTCACTCTGTTTACTGTAAACTTTGTGATTTTACCCAGCTTCTTTTTTTTTAATTGCTCTTTTCTTTTAAATTCCATGTGCTTCTCTTTTTGATCTGTATCTCATCACCATGATGAGTAGCAAATAGATCAAGATAGCTTCAGGATCATGAAGCTAGTATGATCCAATGCAGGGGATTTTTTCTGGAGAAGGTATATTTTTCTAGGACATTGATCAGGCTCCTAAATTCACTGCTTCTGAGGTGTTAGGATGCAAGAGTGGCCTCAAATCCAATCAGTGGGTAGTTTTTCTTTCATTATTTTTATGAGCTCTCCACCAAACCAATGACTAGAATGACACAGCTCAAGCGTTTCCAAACTGTGTGGTTCAAATTCAGTTTCTTTCGTCTTCAGTCTTCTAGACGCTCATCGGATGTTGGAATTAATATCGATACTCTTGTTGCCTCTGAGAAGGAAATTTGGAACAGAGAAAAGCTGTCACTGCAGAAATCTTTGAAACAAGCCGATGCGGAGCTCTCCAAGCTGCGAGCAGAGCTCAGGAGCGAAGCTTTCCTCAGAGAACTGGGGTCAGATTCTGAAAATGCTGTTTTAAGGGTAGGAAGACTTTGTTGCCTGCATACTAACTAAAGCTGCTTTTTTCATTTTGATTTGGGCGTATTTTTCATTGTGTTCACTCTGCTTATTCTAAGTAAACAGGTATTAATTCAGTTTCAAAATTTTCATCCTCAGATACCTGACTGTTAGTTTTTCTCCCCAAGAATGATATGTAAGCACCTATGTTGTCCTTTTGTGTGTGCTCTATTTCTTGCTGCTCAGGTGATCGTCAAGTTATGAAGCTACATTCAACAAGTGTGAGCAGTAGTGCAGTCTTCTCCACGATAGCAAGAAATGAATAGTCACAGAAATGCTGTAGGAGTAATGATGTCAAAAGTCATAGAACTGTGATAATTCTTGGAGCTTATGGGGCCTTTTTTCTTTTTCTTGTTGTAGAGGGTTTATGGCAAATACCTACGGGCAGAGAGCTTTCGGAAAGCTCTCATATATCAGAAAAAATATTTGCTGCTGTTACTAGGCGGATTCCAGGAGTGCGAAGAAGCCACGCTGGCCCTCATTGCACGAATGGGTGGACAGCCTTCCTACACAGACCTCGAAATCATCACACATCATTCAAAGGGTTTTACAAGATTTCGCTCTGCAGTCAGAGTGTCCATTGCAATTTCAAGGTAAACTGGAGGAAGTTAGATTTCGAACAGATAAGACTGTGCAGTTTAATGTACACTTTTCTAGCTCTCTAGTGGAATCTAGAAATTCTCATGTTCCATCCTGTTTAAATTACACATTTTTGGTGGTCATGAATATAGTAGATACTGTATAGGGTGACAAGTTGAGCAGAGCATAGGTAAAATCTGTAATAGGAATAAGCAGTCTGACTGTAGTTGAAAATGGCTGTGTATTTGATAATCAATCAAAGATGGAGTGTATTGGATAAAGTCATAATATTAGAAAAAAAATTACTAGCAATTCTAGGTTATGCAGTTATTTACAAAGGTATTTTCTGCAACTTAATTTCCTTTAAAGGCTAAATTCTTACATGCAAGTACAGATTTATGAACCAATTTTATCCATCTGGGTAGTCCTTTGAATTCACAAGACTTTAGGTCTCAGAGTGAGGATGAATAGGAATAGATGAGGAAGAAAAGTGAAGGTTATTACTGCATAGTACTGCCATGTTGCTAGCGAACCTTCTTCACAAAAGTTTGAACCCCCAGGCACTTCTGCTTGCTATTGATCTGAGCCTTGTGTGTATTATAAATTCAAGGAACTATTCATATACCTGTTGTAAGTAAGGTTTTTACTCATAGCGCTCCGCGGTCTCAATTTTGGGGATGCGACAGGGCAAAAAGTCTATTTAGTATGATTTTAAAATGCTGATGCCCTGTTGCTTAGGTGCTTGAGCCATGTGCTGTCCACTTGGACTTATGCAGCACCTCTGGAATCACTGGGATTGCAGAGATGAAGCTGAAAGCAGATTTGGACAAAAGATGTTTTTCTTAGGGATGTGTATAAGAATGTTTTCTACTTGATCTTCAGGTTTTAGACGCCCATCCATTAATTTTGCTTGGTGTCCAAGAAATTCTTATGCCTGCTAGAATACAACAAGCAGTTTATTTTTAGCAGACTATTTCATTTATCCTGAAGTATTCTTTTTTTTTTTAAATTTGAAATGCAGAATGAAGTTCCTGGTCCGTCGATGGCACAGAGTTACAGGTTCTGGTATACTAAGTATCAATAGGGATGTCTTTAGCCAGAACACAGGTAAATCATAGTAATGACTGGAAAAACGGTATTCACAAGTCACACCACTGCTAAATGGAGATGGTTTTTAATTTGTATTTTCCTCATGTGGAATGAACAGGGTGCTGCTCCCCTCCCTTTTGCTATAATTGCTTGGATTAACCTATTTCTCAGGTTTCTGAGAGTTTCCATGCTTAGCACAGACAGGAATTTATTTGCTTTCTCTTCAATCTTGTTTTGCTCCGTTGTGGGTGGGATTTAAAAAAATATGGCAACTTGCCCTATGGAGAGTGTTTGTAAACACAATTTTAGCAGCGTCACTGGGTTCTCTTAAGAGATCTGCACCCCCGTCTCTGAGAGGGGATGCTGAGGACAAGGACGGACAGAGGAATTGTAGCAACTACAGGTCCCCCACAGTGGCAACAGAGCCTATTGACCAGCCCTCTCTGGTCTTTTCCTCAGAACAAAAGCCTGTCATTCTTTTGTTATAGCTTAAAGTTTGGGAAATCTGGTTTTCTGTTTGCTTTTTGGTAGGAGCCTAGGGAGAATCAGAAGCTTTTTTATTAATTCCTGGCTATCTAGGTCTGCACTAAAACCTTGTCCTGCTCAGTCTGTGAGAGTTCTCTTATTGAGAGAATCATCAGTGAGGCCAGGATTTTACCTCTGGTTTTCTCTGAAGCAGTCTGAAAGTGGTCTACATTTGTTAAACACCATTTTTGTGATATGCAAACAGAAAACTCACATTTGATATTCCCAGTAAAGTGCAAAAGGTTTCAGTTTTCAAGACATTGCTTTTTATATTTCTAGGTAATGAATTACGGCCTGATTCATTCTCTGGTGGCATGGATCTTTATGGAGAACAAAGGCATTCCTATAGATCCAGGTCAGACATGGAATCTCCTAGATCTCCTCTAAACTTTCAACATAAGTACGTTTTATTTTAGATTATTATTCTCTGTCAGAACACTGTTTAACTAAATGAATGCATCAGTGCTTCCTGCTAAGGTTTGTAATCTTTGATGCCGTAAGATTTTTTACTTTTTTTGTAAGGATACATAACAAATTACATCTCAGGCCTTCAGTGTGCGTTTACTCATCGCCTGATCAAGGCCAAAGCTTGCAGACTTCTGCTGTCTGATTTATGTCATGTTCTTGGAAGTGGTGATAGATGACTGGACGGAGCTATGTTTACCTATCTCTGTAGAGCCTAGGCTTTGGGACTAAGCAAACCTCTGCTGCCTGTCCACCTTTCTGGTGGGCAGCCCGGTGTGGTGTGGGGAGGGGCTGCCTCAGGTGCCCTCAGCTGAAGGAAAGGAAAAGCAAGGCCAGGGAAAAGCAGGGCCAGGGAAAAGCTTGCCGTGGCTGGGGAGGGTCATCCTGTTACTGTGGGCTGGGGGGAATTACTGTGGCCTTGTGGCCAGAGCGTGGGTGGGAGCTGCTTGGTAGCTCTGCCATTTGTTCTTGATTAAACCCCTTTGGACGGCTGTACTAAGCCGTGATACCAGAGGTATCAGTGAATTGGATGCCAGTGAAACCAGGTATTTTTCACCAAAGGCAAGGTTTTTAGGAGTGCCATCAGCCTTTGATGACTTCATACAGAGTTGTGGGCTCTGAGCTTTACTGAATATCAGATTCTTGCCATTTTGGATCTTTACTTTTATATAAACCACCTCAACATTTGTAATCTGAGTTTGTGGCGACCGTAACAGTTTACATGGAAAAAATGTTTCATCTATTTTAGCCACTTTCAATTTTTACTTATAGAGTAACGAAGAGAGACAGAATCCTGTAAAAATGGCTGTGTCCTTGTTCACACAAGCAGCTTAGTAGAAAAGCAAACTTGAATCAACCACGGCTTCTGCTGCAGTCTCAGTAGGAATTTGCTGGTCAGTCTTTGTCCCAAAGCAAGGCAGCAACAAACCAGGTGCAGTAAAAAGAAAAGGCAACTGGGAAAAGTGGTTTCTCTGGGGGAGGCAGTATGATGGCTTGGGCAATAAATGGCAGGGAGGTTAAATGGCTATGATGTGCTGGCTACCACAAGGGTAAGTTACAGGACATGCAGTCAGTAAGGTATCCCTACTTAGAGTATTTTGCTGTGTCTGCTGATACTTTCATTTTATTTGAAATTTTGCTTTTTAAAAACATTTGTGTTCTTCTGCCCCTAGGTTCCACGGTATGCATGCTGATTTAAACCCAGTCTCTTTCGCCTGTTCTCAACTGCAGAACTATGATCCTGAAAGAGCTTTAACAGATTACATCCATCGGCTGGAGGCACTACAAAGGCGACTTGGCAGCGTGCAGTCAGGTAAGGGCTCAGGCAGTCCTCCCCGTCACTCCTGGGTAGCACAAGGCACGGTTCCAAGTTAGAAAGTGTGTGCTGGTTCTCTGAGATACGTAACAAACATCTTTGATTTTAGGCATTTTCAGCCTTAAACAAGAGGCTATTCTGAGCTGTAGCAAAAAGCTCGTTAAAAAGAAAATTGTAAAATTCTTTGCAGGGAGACACACAAGTGTGCTTTAATGACAGATTTTCAGTTTATTGGTACCACTTTAACTCTCCCTGATCTCTAATAAATGTGCAGCAAGGATTCAGTTGGCATCTTACTAAGATTTTAAGCTGGATGGAGAAAAATGTACCCCAAAGATTGGGGTATGGGAGTACAAGGGGAATTTCTTCTCCTGCCACTTTGATTACAGAAGTTACAGCCTTTTTGTCCCATAGATAATGGTAATTTTTGTGCTGTAAAAGGAATACGTCAAGAAAATTGTCAGATCAATGGGACTTAATTTATCAAACTTGATGTGGGGATGATTTTTGCAGTTACTGTGTTAAAGTCTTAACTTCAGTATAAAATCCATCATTTGAGGAAGTTTTGTCCTTAAAAGATTTCCCATGTAAAATCTTTCACGCTTATTCAGCTGAATAACATGTCATTGGTGAATTCTCATCTACTTATTCCAGGTAATCTTGATGAAAATCTTTCTCCGTCTTACAGGTTCGACTTCATACACTCAGTTGCACGCGGGTATGAGAAGATAATAATACCCTTCCAACATCTCCACCACTGGCAGTGATGTTAATGGATTGCCTTCTGTAAATCTGTGCTCTTTCTGTGCTTTTGTATAATGTGTATATTGTGGGACCAATATGAACACAGCTATACGAATGTATACAGTTCCATCCTGACACACCCACGCAGACTGGGATTTATGTATATAGGCCCTTTGTGTTCATGAAAAAAAAAAAACAAAACCAAAAAAACCCCACCATTAAATGACATGTATATTTGTGGAATGCTAATTTAAATGATTAACTTATGAAGTGTGTATTTATCAGAAGGGTGCAAAGATGATACCTGTGTATTAATGAAATTGAGCTACATTCAGCAAAGTTTACTTGCACTTTTTCTGTCAAGGCTACTGAAGTTACATGACTCGTAATATTTGCTACTGGCAGTGCAGACAGAATATCACTCGTAGAGACCTATTTTTGTAATGGTAGAAGTTTTGAATTTTATGGGTATTTTGTCAAAGTACTGAAATAAAGATGACTTCATGCTTTTAACTGTGTTCAAGAACCACTCCCATATTCACACTGAAAAGGTTGCTCCTACCTGCGCTCCTGCTCGTGGTGGCTGCAGCTTTACTTTTCAGATTCCAAAACAGTGCTACTAATGAGAAGAGAGGACAGGTACAAGCTTGCTTTCTGAAGACCCTGGTCACATCTGGCAGGGCTGGCAGGGAAGATACTGCGCTCCCTCAGTTGCTGTGACCGATACAAACGCAAGGTTTTATAACAGTTATAGCCGAGCTTAGAACAGGAAGGATGGGGCAAAGCCCTTGCTCCAGTAAGCACTGATGAAGGCGGGGAGCTCTATGTATGACCAACTTCATACTTGAAAGAAAGAAAGGAGTTTATTACACATTTACTTAGAAAAGCTTTTCAGAATTGACAGGGTTGAGCACAGAAAACTTCCACAGAGGCTTGTTTATAAATTTAATTCAAAATTCCTGTGAGCCAAAGCTCACTACCATTTATCATCACCACTCTTGAACCAAACACCATTTGACAGTCGGGCATGAGTCAGTACAAAGGGGGACCACATTCAGCTATTTCACTTAATTTGTGACCATTTTATACACGAACATGTTATTTACAAAACTAATGTTGTTTTATCATCACATTGTTACTTTCACGCTTACATCAAGCTTCCAGAGCTCATTACTTTCAGAAGTTTTTTTTAGAAAATTATTTGTTGCTTTCTGAACCTAAGCATTTTGCAACTGCTTCAAGTTAGACATTTAAGTCATTTATTCTTAGAAAAGACATCTTTGTGAACATTTTGTAGTCTCCCTACCATCTGCTGTACAGTAACATTTTTTTAAATAAGTACGTGGGCACTTCCAAGAAGCAGCCAAGACCACACGTAGTCCGCTTGCGACAGAATGACACGTATCAAAGGTGGGGCACCACCAAGCACATTCCCCCTCCGTGCCTGTTCCCTGATGGATTTACTGTAATTGGATACAGAAGTAAGGTACACAGTAAGTAAGTTACCCCTGGTTATCTGGGGAAAAGTAATCTTCAATTATTTCTCAAAAGCAAAGAGTTCTATTTATAGAAATGACTTATTTCTTCACCTTAAGTTGGCATGCACCTTAAAAGTGTTACACCAATAGAAAACACACTTTTTCTTTAAAAATGCAATGAGAAATTTGTAGAACAAGCAGTTATACACAGCAGCATTAAATGGTGCGGGCAAACAAAACAGATGCATTTGGTAGATTATTGTTGCTTTCCTAAAAGTAGATGCAACAGCTTCCATTTGCCACTCATTTTGTCACAATTTTATTCAAAAGTTAGTTTACACAACTTAAATAATAAGGTTTTAGCTCCAGAATTTACAGTGACCTCCTCTTATATCTGATAACGGGGTTATTAGGTGTGTGTATCATTGTTGTATAATTTATAGTCGGAAAATAGTCATTGATGAGATCAAATTCATACAAACGAAGCAAAGTAGACCAAATAGTCTTAATCTGAACATAAGCAAAGTTTTCTCCAATGCAGCGATGACGGCCTAGAAGGAAAGCCACAAAAAGCAGTTAGAATACTTAGTTATGAAATCACCTTTGACAACAAGCTAACTGTAAAAATTTTATGCGGAGAGTAATTGCTACTCTCCTTTCTAAACAAGGTGAGGCTCTGATGCTGCACATACACCACGATGTAACTCCATCAAAGTCTTGTTTCTATAAGCTGTCTCTGCATAAAACAGGCTGAGTAATTTGGATGAGATTGTGGTGTTCTGTCCTCAGCAGAAAGTGTTAATTTATGTATCACCAAAGAAGCATTTGCAACACTCAGAAAAGATATCAGCTATGACCATATTGTGGTGATATTTGCAAACTGTTTTGGCTGTTAGGACTCTATGCAGAGTTTTGCTCTGCCTTAAACTGACTATGTATTACCAGGTTTTTACCTTGACTTAAAAAGCCTTTAATCAAGTATCACACGTGCTAACCTAAAGATTTGTTTTGATTGCTACTCCAAATGATACACACTAATGCAAAACTATCGACTTCATTCTTTTAACAGCACTTTCACTGTAAGAAAACTTTCAGGCAGCAATAGAAAGAAAAAAATATATCCTCAGATGCTACAGCGTGGGGAGGTGCTGTATGAGACAACCAACGACCAGTATGAGCCCCTCCAGTAGACAATCACTCAGGAAGGCGCTGCCTTTTCTTACTCACCAGCACCAAATGGAACATATGCAAATTTCTCTCCAGCTGCTGGGTTATCTTGGAGGTACCGGTCAGGCTTGAAGTCTAGAGCGTCTTTCCAGGTGTCCCTGAGTCTGTGGTTAACAGTGGGAGATACACAGACCTGATGGCCGGGGGGAATATTATATCCAGCAACAGTCTACAAGACAAGACCCCACACAACACAAAATTTCTCCATTTTTCTTTTTAAAGCGTTACCTGAAGTGCTATATCATGAGGCTTGAATTTCAACAGATATTTTGGCTAAGCTAATTTAAAATCAATGCAGCCTAATACTTTATTGTTTTAATTGTACAGGGCACAATGTTCAAGTAGTTGCAGGAACCTTTCAGCTGCTTTAACAAGGCTGGCAATTCTACAGAAAGAATTTTTAAAAAATGAATTAACTTGAAATTTGTTGAAAGCATTTGTCATGGGAGGGACAATCTTTTAATACTTTCTGTCTTATTTGTACAAACAGCAAGTTTTCTTTCAGATTTACCTAGCTTGTCTTGTATTAAGTGCAAGCAGAATTTTTCCAAGATAGCTATTAAAAATACCTGGCAAACAAAAAAAATCTTTACATGGTATCACCAAACTAAGAACTCAAGTGAGACTGATAACTAACAGAAAGGGTCAGTTTTGCTGAGTAAGACTGCAAGAGGCTGTTACTAGGTCCCTCAGAGCCTTCACTTCTCCAGGCTCAACAAACCCTGTTCCCTCAGCCTCTCCTCACAGGACAAGCGCTGCAACCCCATACCATCTTGGTGGCCCTCTGCTTGCTTCACTTCATCATAATCTTGATTGCTGGAGGCCAGAGGGGTCCAAAACTGGACACAAATAATGCCAGATGAAGGTAACACTATCAAGTTCAAGGTATTAACTGCTTTTCTCAATCAACACCGGCTACACTCCCACTGATACAACCCAGCATACCATCAGCTTTCATCCCTGCCAGCAAACACGTCTCACTTGTGTTTTTCCTTCTGCCAACCAGGACACCCCCTGCCCAGCCTTTTCCAGTCCTGTTCTACTAAAGTGAAGGTAGCTCCAACAAGTGTACTCACTTGGGGAGTTCTGGCCATTCTCATCATGGTCATTATAGGAGGTCTAAGCCTTAAAGTTTCTTTTAGACAGCGATCCAGCAAACTGAGATCCTTGAGCTGAAAATACAGAGAAAATGATATATCAAAATATAGACAAGTTTATTCAACACAAACAAAATGGTATTTTACACAATTTAAAAATAAATTAAAAAAAAAAATCAAAGGTAAGCAGCTCATATTTACATGTACTTCATTAGCTACCCTGATAGTTTTTTTTTTTCTTTCATTTGATTCAATTAAGAAGGAAAAAATCTCTGAGCAGTGCAATCAATTATGACTAGTTTCTTACTAATCCTAATCTGTCTCACGAGTGTTTTTGATGCCTAATTAAAGAACAAGGTCACACTGCATCCCTTTCCTCAGTGGGAATATGAGGACCTTCCTCCTCTACAGAACTATCATTCCTTCAACAGAAATTGTAGGAACTGTAATTTCCTTAATCAACACTGATTAAAAAAATAGTAGCAGTTGAAAATTTACTTGGAGAGGAGGAGATGGAGGAGATATATTGGCAGTGTTATCACAGAGTGACTGTGCCAGATTATTATTCTAACACAAAGCATATGACTATATTTCACTTTTGTTTGTTGGTTTTGGTTTCTGGTTTTGTTTTTTAATAAGCATCTAAAAGTATATAGGAATAATGTAACATACAAACCTGGTCATAAGTTAATGGTGGCAAGTCATCCCCACAAACTGCTTTTTGTTCTGCATAGCACTGTTCCTGTATTGATTTGTCTCTGGCTATGAAGAAGCCAAGCCAGGCACTGGTGGTGGAGGAAGTGTGCTGCCCCGCTAGGAGCAACCCGATAAGCATTCCAGCAATTTCATCATCTGTCAGTGGACGGCCATCCCTAGGTTGAAGGGTGTTAGGTTAGAGCTTCATTTGATCAGGTTTCCAGTTATGGTAGTATTTACAGATTCTTCTAATGTACTTCTTTCTCCTTCTTCTCTTTTGTTGCCTACTCTAAACAGAGCAGCAAAAGATCAAGGGGTAGGAGAAGGGAGAACAGAGGGAGAGAGACTCTCTAGGAGCCTAAAGAACATCATTACTGAAAGCCAGCAAAGTCAAAGGAAGCAACCTTGTGACCACTGATGAAAATCTCAGATTCTAAATAACAATTTACAAGTAAAGTTTTTAAGCTGTTTTTAAGAATACAGCTTGGACCAATTGCTGGCAGCAAAAACAATTCAGAACATGTGGGAATATTTCTTATTTTTTGGTAGATAGTTTTAACTAAAGAGCTCAAAGCTAAAATAAAACATCTATAAATGACAATTCTTTAAACCCTTTGCTTACTTGTATGAAGCATCAAGTAGAGTTTGGAGAACGTCATCTTCCTTTTCCTCAGACTTTCGACGTTTCTGTATAACCTTGTAGAAAATATTCTTTATTTCTTTGTGTGCTCGATCTCGACGTCTGCAATTCAAAACACTTCTATTAGCAACTTTGTATAAAGTAACACATAAAATGCTTATGAGGATTTATTGGGACGTCTAGAATAGCTTACAAACAAGAAATGGGGTGGGGGGGAATCCAAACAACAAAGACGTTTAGATAAAATGCTTAAGTTGCTTCATCTGTTATTTCTCGTACCTGAAGCTCGGCAGAGGTAGCCAACCTGGCAGAAGCCAGGCAGCGTGAGTAAAACCCCCATCCAAATCGGCATACAGCTGAGCCACCTTCTCATTCAGTAAGCTTCTTATTTCTTTCCCATGTAAGCAATGACTTGCTGTCAAAATGATAAGTTCTGAAAGGGCTTCAAACAGGTCTGAGGAAAGATTTGAAAAATGTTACTGAAGATGCATTTCAGGCGAGATGTTATGTTTTACAGGTTATTCTTTATTTTTATTTTGTAGAGGAGAAAAATAAGTAACTGGACACATTAGTAATTTTAAAGAGAGTTTTAGATTGTTTTACTAGAAGAACAAAGCATCTAATTTTGAATTTCTCAGTGCCTATCAGGTCTCTCTTCAAACAACTTTTTAATTAGACTAGTGATTTCAATAGCTTTTTTCTAAGGTATTTCTTTCTGGCAATTTTTCTAGGAGAGCTAGTAATCCTTCCAAAGTAAGACATGCAGCACAAGCTCAGTCCTTAATAAATACGAAATAAGTCGTACAAAAACTTAACCTTGAAATCCAAATCCATGGGAAACCAGTTAGTTTTGCTGCTCGCTGAA